CGTTTTCTCTGTAGCTGTGTAAAATGGGAACAAAACATAACTTCTGTGTTCAACTTTTCCTCTGTGTGTGTACGCTTGTGTGCATACACGCACACAACCAGAATACGTAAACATATGCATGTCATGCACATACATAGATATGTTCACACACACAGGGGAATAGTTAACATAGGAATTATTGCAAGTATATCCATGCACATGCAAGCAGACAAAACCTTGGATTTCCAGCAAAACTTAAGTGATTCAGTGTAATAAAAAAGAGCTCCTTTCAGTAAAGCACTTAATCAAGCGCTTGGCAGACCGCGTCCAAAGGGTGCCATTACCCAGGGGAGCCGAAGGATTTGACTGGAGCATCAAACATGAACAAATGGCCTAGGGATTTGTTAGGGTAAGGACTGGATTCAGCACAGAGGGCTTCATCTCCTCTGAAACTCTGCATTTTTCATCCCTAGAGCAGATGGAACCCAAGTATTTTTCCATACTTTAAAAGTAATCTTTTGTGAAAGGAATCTAATCTCTCATAACTACGCAACTAAGCGGTACCCTTCCAGTGTTTTCAGAATCAAATTCCCATCTTAGGTCCACTGGCAAAAAACTATAGTAACACCTTTCCTTCTAATTTATTTTCATTATTAATTACCTTCTCGTACACTGACAAAGGAAAAACCTAATCAGAGACCGCTACAACTTGCAGTTCTAAATGTCCAGTAGGGATAAATGATGGCTCTGACACTGGCTACCTTCTGGAAATCATCTTTTCACTGTCCCCTATAACCCATAATTTTAAGTATTTGCAACTCCTCTTGTCCTGAAGAAAATATAATATTTACAGCATGTTTTCTATTTTAGGAGCACAGAATTCCTCCTTGACTCCAAGTCATACATCACTTCTGTGCTGAACTCTGACCTCATCTCTATTTGCATTCCCTAGTCTGATGCAGCAGCTATTTCTGATTATGGACTGGCAAAATAAATCATAGAAAATTGGAATTCCAAGGAAAGGAACATTTCATGTTTTTGTCATGTTGTTGTTATGAGACAGGCGGGTTTTTTAGTTTGACTGTTTTATTTTTACCAGGGGATGCTCAGCGCTATGTTTTATATGCTCTCAGAATACAAGTCCATGCACTCAGAGTTCCAAAACCTCAAAAACCACAGTCAATGATACTGCTCAAGAATGGTGACTCTAGACTTCTGACAACCAGTTTCTCTGAGGTACTGCTGGCTCCATCAGTACCATGCAGCCATACTCCTAATGGCTTTAAAAATGCACCAAATTGCAGAATCACTGAGGTCGGAAAGGACCTCTGGAGATCCTCTAGTCCAACCTTGCTGCTCTAGCAGGGTCAACAAAAGTAGGTTGCCTAGCACCACATCCAGTCGGGCTATAAATGTCTCCATGAGTCCACAAACTCTCTGGGCAACCTGTTCCAGTGCTCAGTCACCCTGACAGTGAAGAAGTTCCTCGTGTCTCAGTGGCATGTCATGTATTTCAATTTGTATCCACTGCTTCTTGTGCTGTCTCAGGATACCACTCAGAAGACTCTGACTCAATCGTCTCTACTCGCCCCACATCAGCTACTTATACACGTTGCTAAGATCCTCCTGAGCCTTCTCCAGGCTTTGTTCCTGCAGCCTCACCTTGTATGACAGATGCTCCGATCCCTTAGCATCTTTGTGGCCCTTTCTGAGACACGCTCCAGTTTCGCCAGGTCTCTCTTGTAGTGAGGAATCCAGATCTGGACCTAGCACTCCAAATGAACCCTCACGAGTGATAAGCAGAGAGGGAGAAACAAATCCCTCAGCCTCCTGGAAACACTCCACCTAACGCAGACCAGGATAAAACTGGCATTCTTGGTCTCAAAGGCACATGGTGGGTTCATCGTCAACTTGGTACGCATCAGGAACCTGAGGTTTTCCTTTTTAAAAGTTGCTTTCCATGCAGCTAGCTCCAGTCATACACTAGTAAAGGGGGTTATTCTTCCACAGGTGAAGGACTCTGCATTACCTTTTGTTGAACTTCAGGAGAACTGTGTCAAATAAGGTTAAGCTCAGGAGAAAGAGAAAGCCTAGAGGCGCTGCTGAACTGGGTCTGGGAAGGGGCTGCCCAAGGAAGGCATGTGCTGCCAAGAGACCTGTCCTGCTAGGGATTTCTCATCTGGGCCATGTATGTCCCAGCCTGCTCACGTTCCCCCGAATGACAGCACAACAATCTGATGTATCAGCCATTCCTTCCAGTTAAGCTCCCAGCCACGACAGACAGACTGTGCAAGAGGACAGCATGTGTCAGGCCCTCTCAATCCGAGTGCCTGAATACATTTTCAAACACATGAAGAGATCGCCCACAATGAACTGCCCATTTAGGGTATAAAGTAACTTACAAATCAACCCTGATTTGATTCCCAAGGACAGGAAAAGGCTGTTCTTGGAATGCCACAGGCATTTTATCCTGAGAATTCAGACCCTTTTCTTTATTTAAATAGAGCTTAAACAGAAAGCAACACAACACATTTCTGTCACCTCTACTTTAAGCATGAGCAGAAAGGTAAAGTAACTCATGAGTAATAAGGAAGTAACTGATACATTGCCTCTTCTCACTATATGCAGTATTAACAGCACGATGTTACCAGTAAGTGACCCAGACCCCAATGTACACTGTGGTGTAAACACCTATCGTTACTCCTAAAGACAGAACTGTGTAAAGTAGTCAGAATCTGTCCACTCCTTATGAAATATGAAATATGTACTACACAAGCAAAGGTCCAAGTATGTTTAGAAGTCATGAACTGTAAACAACGAAGTGCACACTTCCATCATAGGCAGAAGACATATTGTCCAAAATGGGCATGATAGAGGGGTTTTCATTTATCTGTAGACGTTTCCTAAACCAAAAGAGAGTTTTGGTTAGACTCACAACAGGGTAGAGTGTCCCTACACAGTGGTAATGCAATAAGAACAACTATAATAATAACCAGTACTAATAATAACTGAGTACCCACAATAATAGGGTAAGTTCCAGAGCTCAGTACTGCCAAAGGCTCAAAGGGCCTTGGAGTGATTCACATACCTTACTGAATTTAGTCTAACAATGTCCCTTTGAGGTAAGCAGATTTTGATATCCCCCTTGAACAGAAAACAGAACATATACAGAGAGATGCAGTGATTCGTTCGAGATCACACTGTATTTCGCAAAACTGGAAATAGAAGCCAGGTTTCTCTCAGTCCTATGCCACTTTCACAGAGCCACCCCCTGCTTTCACAGAACAAAGCAAGTTAAAGAGGGAACACATGCACATATTGCTGTAATAGCAGAGAAAAGTAGCTGGGTTTTCACACCATTAAATCAGTGAGAGCTCATCTGCTTAAAGTATGAGGCAACATAAGAAGGGAAACCTCAAACGGCTCCATATTCATCATTCTCAACAATCAAATAGTCAAAGGAAAATCCCCTGATGAAGCATAAAACAAGTATTCATAGTCGTATTGCAGATACAGTTAATAATATTAATAGGTCTTCCACAACTATAAATATGTCAAAACGCCAGATGCTTTTCTCCTTTCTTTACAAAAATCAAGAAATCAAAAAAAAAAATTTAGAGACATATCCCAAAAAATAACAGCAGACGTTTCAATTATATAGATAGCTCCTAAGCATATAGGTACAGCTGCATATTGCATAGCGTTACAGAACTAAAACTGTTACCTGCACACATTCTAAATGCAAGGCCAGCATTAATGACACAGAACATCTAGGAAGGATTAAGGATTAGTTATCATTTCAACCCAATGAAAGAAGATCTATATTTCTCTTTTAGACACGTAATTCACAGGAGAATCATGCTTGCCAACACTCTGAAAAAATAATCTTTCAGAATTCTTGCAAACCCACTGTGTTATGATTTCATCTCATGAAATACAACACCTTTACATTAAACCTCATAAAACTAAATCCTGCTGGATCTCTTCCAGGCTCAGAGAATAAACAGCTATATCAGTGATGCCTAGAACAGTAAAATCTGGCCCACTGTCATATCGCATGTTCCCATTTACAGAGCGGAGCAAGTCTGCAAACAGCTAATTCAGTTTGCTATTACAAAATCCTCACATATAATGAATTTCTCACATGATTGGTCTAAGAAATACTTCAAGGGAAAAAAAGAATGCTTTGAACACCGTAATACATATTTATTTCTACTATTTTTTTTTAAACCTATTCCCTGCCTTGCCCTTAATGAAATATGTGCTGCAGACCTGTTCTGTTTTTTAGCATGCAGAAGTGAGTTTAGCTGTGGCTGGAATTCTGGTAGATAGCAAAGGGGGAAATCTGTTGTCAAAACAGTTCAAAAGCACAGATGATTATATCCAATGAGATTAATTGTTAAAGTCCAATTACTTTTTCCTTTGCAATCTGAAGAGCTAAATAAACTGCTTCCCATCCCTCCAGTTCCACCCAAGCATGAGTAAGAAGGATATTATAATATAGGTATAACTACACTAGGCAACACAAATCTAACGCCAAAGACATCGTCAGAAATTTCACGACAAATATCAGCCAAATGTTCTCAGTACACAGTACAGCCAAAGGAAAAAAAAATCATTTGAATTACACTGGTCCCCATTCCCCATGTAGAACTATGTTTTAATCCCCACATTTGGGCAGACTCTGGCATGTCTTAGTGTGGGAATTGCAATTATAGATCCAGATATGCACATATCACACATTCCTGAAGTCTTTCAGATCAGTCAGTGGGCTAATTACATCTTAGACTAACCACAACAAGATAATCTTCAATGCCGAGGCACACTCTGTTTGAGCACACAAGCCAAGGCTAACATTAGCAGATATCACGCCTCATCGAGAGCTGAACTCTCTCAAGATTCCCTTTCTCGATTTTTTCCATTTTGATCGGAGCACTCTGGTTTTTAGTAGCCAAGACTGGAAGATGATATTTCTATAGTAAAACAGAAAAAAAACGCAAAATGTCTCAAGTCTTACTCACCACGTTCAGGAGGCTGGGAGAGGTTAACAGCGCTGTAAAATGCACATTGTCGGTGACACAAAGCAGAGGGAGGAAGCCCGAAGAGCACGCAGGGAGGCCGTGGAGGCGGACAGCTGAGAAGCTCAGAGGGCAAGAGCCGCCAAAGAAGGGACAAAGGTTTCCTGGGAACTGTCAGTAGGTCCTTTTTGAACTAGGTGGAAGAGAAACGTTCCTATTAAGATGGTCAATTAGATGATATAATGGCAGGGTGAGGTCACTGACCCCATCACTGGAAATAATTAGGATGAGACATGCACTTGGAACGCTATGCTGGGTAGCCCGTCTCTGTTCCTCCCATGAAAGGCCGCAGGAGCTGCCTCCTGAGGGCCACACCAGGGTTATTTTGCAGGCCAACTGTCCTGCAGGTGAAGCCATAGGACAGGCAAGCGTGCTATGGGCAGCTAAAAGGCAGCTCCTTGTCCCTGCTGGAAGATGAGACTGCCATCGATTTCCAGCAGACCATGGCTTCTGATCTCTGCATCAGGTGGAACTGGCAAAGATGCATGAGGTGATCTAGGCAGCACCGGAGCCTCTTCTTCCACTGTCACACCACAGCATGGAAACACAGAAAGGTGTCAAAATTAGACTCAAGAATTTCCACCAAACTTTCTCTCCTGTCCAAATCCTGTCTTCCTCACCTGTAGGCAGGAAAATCGCACCAATGCTGCTTCTATGGACCCTAAAAATAGGAGACCTAAAAGCCCTGTGTGTTAATCAGTGGACTTACAAGCCTGTAAGGCTTTTCCAGCTTCCATGATCCTGAAAATGCATTGTTAAAGGACAAGTTTTGCTGTTAGATGAGTACCTGCAGCTCCCAGCCTCCATAGAGAATTCAAGGCACACATGTGAGAGCAGGATTTGGCTCAGCCGTGTGACTTTGCGTTAAATCCAAGTCAGAAGCTTTTTACAATCTAAGCTTGCAAATTAGATGGTGCCTATAAACTCCACATTCAGTAAAGGGCTGTGCATGACATTTTCACTACCCAGGAGAAGACTTTAAGAGCGTTATGTGCCTGGCCTATCCCTGTAGTGGGGAAGGCTGAAGCCCTAGAAAGGCTCTCCCTGAATTTGTGGCCATCTCAGCCAGTGAGTGGTTTTCTAACAAAAGCCAAAACTCTCCAAGGGTCTCAATGTACAATCTCAATGTGTAAATAAGATCTAGGCTGGTAGGTTTTTCTGCATACTCAACAATTTGGGCAGAGATGCTTTAACTCCCATACTGGCTAATGACCCAGCTCCAGAATTAGCCACTCTTCTTAACTACGCACACTGGATGACTGTGCAATATAGCAACAAATGAAATTCAAATGTCAATAAAGGCATATTGCCCTAGGGAAAGAAAAAAGAAAAAAAGATACATCACAGAATACTATGTTAAAAAGACTTTTGATCTGACCTTGTATCATTGTTCTTACCAAAGCTCCAAGCCCAAAAACTAGATGTGCAGACTTGGGAAGCTTCTGTCTAAACCTGAGGAAAAGCTTCTTTACTGTGAGGGTGACAGAGCACTGGAAGAGGTTGCCCAGAGAGGTAGTGGAGTCTCCTTCGCGCTGGAGATATTCAAAACCCGTCTGGATGTGATCCTGGGAAATATGCTCTAGAGGACCCTGCTTGAGCAGGGGCGTTGGACTAGATGATCTCCAGAGGTCCCTTCCAACCTCAACCATTCTGTGATTCTGTGATTTTATTCTAATAGTTGAAGCATCGTTTCCAATATAACTTGTATCAAATTAAATTAAAATAATGCAACTTTGTTTCAGTTTTGTTCATCTCTTTTCCACTGTGAACACTTTCAGGCTCCAAATGCATAACTTTACACTTTATTAAGCAGTAAAAGACATATGCGTGTAAATCAAGGTACCTGTATTTTCAATCTGTTTATATAACTACTTTAAACAATATAATTTCACCATTTACTAACAGCAATAAATATTAATTCTAATCTGACTCTAATAGCCTCTCTGCTGCAATGTTACTCACAGCAGCTACATAAACCTTGTTTGCTTGAAGTCTTACGGGAAAAACTATTACACAAACTGGAGAATTACATTCTCACCTTTTTTTCCAAACATGAATCTAAGTTTCCCCTAATGGAAGTCAATCAAGCTAGCTATGCATTGGTTGGGAACATGTGTTGCAAGACACTCACTTCCCTCAAAAACTAGTACAGTTTCAATTAGACCAACAAACCAAGCGTTGACTTGAAACCCAAGGTCAGATCCTTTGGCTAGATTTAATTCACTGTCAAGTTTCAGCCTGCAGCATTTTTGTATCACATAGAAACTGTACATGAATATCTGAATAAAGGTCTGCAATAAAACTGGCAAGCAAGCATTCTGTCTAGCAAAGCTGCTGCTCTAGCATATAATGAGGCAAGGGAAAAGCTTTTTTTTTTTTTTAGTGATAAGCACTTGGGAAATAAATGGGATATCAAAGAAAACTTCTGTAAGAGCAGTCCAGCACCCATAAATGATCATCTATCTCATTCCAGATACCCATCCAAGTAGGTGCCCAGGCACATGCTCAGGCTGGCTGGCCATGTCAAAAAGCTTAAAGCACAACAGGGAAAAATGTGAATTCATACCACATCAGTAAAGTCCAAGGCTTAAGCTGCTCCAGCTCATCAACAAATACTTGATTTGGGAAAAACAGCTCTTGCCGTTCTCTCTTCCAGTCTCTAATAGCTGATTGTGTGCAGCAAAAGCATTCGTGAGCCATTACAAAATCACAGAGGGCAGGCACCAGAGCTGATGTCCAGACCTTCACAGACGGACTTACAACAGTCTGCTCAGCCAGTCTTTCATGAGCTTTATTGATAGGAAGCATTTTTTGTTTGGCTGTTTTTTTTTTCCTGCTCCCTTTCTCTCCTTTTCCTGATAGCCACTTCCCACATCCCTTGCTGAAGTATAGTCACCATTTGTGAACCACCCCACTACCTCCCAGGGGGAATTCAAACTCAGGTAGAAGTGCCCTCTTGGCCAGGAGCAGGCTTTCTACCTCTGCAAAGCTGTGACAAGTGGGATGGGACAGCTGTGTCCTTTTCTACCGGGAGAAAAGTTGAGAAAGCACAAGGCAAGAAACTGCACACTTTCTCAGAGTACTATTAACTTGACTTACTCACACCCCCTTCCCAGCAACAGCCTCAGCCACCATGGTTCGTGCTTCAGCTTAGAAACAATCTGGACAGAGTCGTCATGGCTGAGCCCTAAAGCTCTGACCCACCTGGCCTGTAGGTGCCACCACAATATAAACGTTAACTACTGGACTAAGCATCATTAATAGGATTGAACCTTGATTGAACCAAGCCTTGTGTAGGAAAAATATGAGAAAAGCTACGTTCAGGCACAGAGTGGATGAGATAACAAGTTAGTCACACAGACGATACCAGAGAATATCAAAAAGAATTTCAATGGAAACAAAATAATAAGTAAAGGTATGTAAGAAAACTGAAGTAATAAATAAACGTACCAGGTGGTTCTAAAACTTACCTGTGCCTATACCATGTGAATGCCTATGTAGTTACCGAGAGAGAAAAAGTACACATAATGGAGAAGAGCGTGTTTAAAATGTTATATTTCAGACTGGGGTTTCTTTACAAGCTTTTTCAATTTTGTTTTTCTATATAAAGTTCAGGAATGTAAAATTGTAAATTTCTAGTTTGAAAGAGGCAGAATAGAAGACGGAAGAAGAAGAAATTGGAGCAGATGATCACAAGCTTGATGATCACAAGCATTCACCAACAAAGAATACAGGTTAAGTGACTGGTGTTGCTGCTTTTTGCAATCAGTTCTGGACTTCCCAAAAACTTCTGATTGTAAGCCATTTCACCTAAGCTGATTCTTTGTCAGCCTCTTCAGAACTGGCCTCAAACATCTGGATTTTTTTAATATTTGGAAATATCGGCTTTATAGTCTGCGAATATATTTTAATTACTGATATATGTGCCTATTCCTTTGATTATTTAAATCACTTGGTAATTTAACTCCAATCCAATATTGAGACTAATTTGATTTGATCATATGTCAGATTGATTTGATTTTTTTATTGTTTTATTTTAAACCAAGTTTAATAATATTTTAAATAACATGGCTTCAGGCAACAGGTTTTCTTGATTTTATTTTTAAAAAGTTTTATTACAAATTATTTTTTAAAATAATTTCTCTCAACAAGTAACACATGTCCAAACCTTGAGGCCATTAGGCCATTTGCAGTCTAACTGCAAACCTGGCAATTTCCCTAAAAGTAGCAGCTGATTCTGAAAATGAGTTTCTATATATGACTCCCTTTCAAACATTCATTTACAGTTGTTTTTTGTGTTAGGGCATTGTGGAAGCAGAGAGTGTTTTTTCCATGAATCTGCAGAACTGCATGACCCGCCTAGCATGAGGATCCATACCAAAGCTCAACACACATCCATGGAACAGGTAGATCCACTCGGCAGAGATCAGCTAGGCAGCACCTGCTGTCTGGGACATGCCACTAAGATTGAACATGGCTATATTAAGATTTCATATGAGGAGAGAAGTAAATAAACAAATAAATCAACCATCATCACACTTTCTTCCGACTGACTTGTTTCAAACTACGAATGAGGGGAGCTAGGCACAGAGCAAAGCAGTAGAGGATTAGTGGTAAAACGGGAGCACCATGATCTAGCTGCTAGGAAACACTGACCACAGCGGGAGGCAAACTCCTCTCTCCCTCTCTGAGGTGTAGGTGCCTTGCGCAGGTCCACGATAAGGCTTACCTGTGACCAGCAACATGAACCCTGAGCCCTCTCCTCAGCGCAGGCGCCCATGGGTGCTCTCTGAGCAGGTGCCCCGAGCTCATGGTGCCCTACTGAAGAAAGAGGACATGGGGCTGCCCACCTCTGAAACAGGAGCCTAGCAGGTTCAGAGATGGACTTATCTACCTGGGAAGCAGTAGATGAGAAAGCAATTCAGCCTGAGAAAAAGTCAGTCCCAAAACAGCAAAGCGCCCTCCCAGTTAAGTCAAGGAGTTGCCTCGTGGGTGGATTACCACTTTCCAGCTCTTCTGTTGGATCTACAGCACCAGGTAGCACAGGATGCAGGATTCATGGAGTCAGTGGCAGAAAAAGATCCTGAGTATGCTAAAAGCTAGTCTAGCTTACAGAGAGGTGAGATCCCAGTTTCCGTTCTCATTCCCAAAACAACTCACATGAAAACAGTCCCTGAACAGAAAAAACACTGACAGCAGGGCCAGCACCTAAAGGGGC